CAGGATCCTGCAAGATCCTGCAGGATCTTGCAGTGCTTGCTTGACCCGGGTGTGGATTGATCGGGGTCAGTGCGCACAACAACGGAGTCGTCTGCGCCGACACTGGCGCGTAGGCTGCCCGCGGAAGGTCGCGCGTGAGCGCCCGTCTCCAATGTGGCGTGCCGCGCTCGCGGCCCGCGTAAGCCACCGCGTAAGGCCGCTGTGACATCTCACGTGCAACCCATTTTTGATCGTCGCTCATTTGGAGCCGTCCGCACTCATTGATCGTCGCTCATTTTTGATCGTCGCAAAGTGGCCCAGCACTGTACCTGGCCAGCAGGAAGCGCAAGCAGGCTCGAGGCTCGGGGCCTCGGGGAAGGCTTTTTTTGTTCGGCCTCTGGGGGCCGTGTTCGGGCCCCGGGGCCGTGAACCGCAGGTGTGGGGTGAAAGACATAGCGCCGTATATGGACCTTGGAGGGTCTTGAGCCGTCGGAATGCCGAGAAGCAGCGAATCCCCAAACCCTTCAAAAACCTGAGGAACATCAGTGATTTTGACCTCTTCGGGCCCTCCTGGGGGACCTCTTGGAGGGTCCGGGGACCGATGTTGAGCGGATTTGCCCAGATCCCCCTTTCTTGACAGATTCTCGCGGGGCCCATTCAGTTTAGGACCCCCCGGCCGCCTCCAGAGAAGGACCACCATCCTCTATGTGCGCAGGCTCCTTGGCTCTACGACGCCCACCGCCTGGGCGTGATGATCAGCACATGACGCCAGCTCGAGGTCCTGTCATGGCTGATTTTCGCGCACGGCAGTGTCGCGAATTTTGCACACATGTGACACTTTTTTTTGCAGTTGATCGCTTTCTCGTGCGCGCGGAATGATGGAAGGCGGCTTGAGGTGCACAGCCTGTCCATGCTCGTCCGCACATTCGAGCCCTCGCGCTGGGTGCACCTCCCGTGTCTGCTGAGTTCGCTGAGCGTGCGGAACATTTAGTGAGCTTCTTGCCGCAGGGGCGGAGCGCCCCCCACGACAACAACGTCCAGGCCAGCCACAACTGGGGGAGCTGTGGTCCTTACCCCCCTGGGGGACCCATCGATCTCGACACCCCCCTCGAGAGATCGTCGATGCGATGGGTTCCCCCAGGGGGGGTAAGGACCACAGCTCCCCCGGCTGTGGCTGGTCGGAACGTCGGCGACGCCAGTGCGTCTGAGGTCTGAGGCTTCGCTCCCTGGGCACTCCTTCGAGGAGAGCCTCGAGCGCCGAGGAGCGCCGAGCGCCGAGCAGGGAAGAGCGTGTTTTTCAGGAGGGGAGGACACACACAGACACAATGAATCGTCGATCTCCCAGAAAACTATATGGGAAACTATGCGACGTGCGGGGGAAGACACAAGCCCAGAGCATGTGGGAACACATGGGGAATCCTGTTGTTTGTGCCCACTTATTTGTGTGTGTCCCAGGGTCTCTTCAGTGTTTTAAAACCAGGTTTCAAAGCGTGGAGCGCCCGCCCAATGGCCGCGCGGCGTGCTGGTGCCCGAGCTCTGTGGTTCCTCGATCGCCCGAGCCCGCGCACGCGGCCTCTCCGCCCGGCCGCGCCTCCCTTGGCTTCCGGGCCCGCGCTTCCCCGGCGCCGGCGAGGTCTGCACTGCCCCCGACCTCGGCCACCGCGCGCGCAGAACACGGGCAGTCTTAGGTCGGGCCTGTCCCTCCACGGGAGGAATATTCAAAGGTAGTCAAAAAAATAGTCCGGGGACGATCTTTCGACCATTTTTGACCATTTGGGGGTATCGTTTGACTCTCTTCGAGCTTTCGCCCAGGATCCGCCTGTGGGGGGACACGCCCGACCTAGGGGCAGTCTTGCCAGCGGGCACAGGGCTCAGGTGACTTGCTCTCCGTGGTCACGACGTGTGCCGCTGCGAAGCGCGCGCCTTCGCTGCCTGCTCGGCATCCCACGTCGCGCCATCTTCAGTTCTTCCTTTCTCGTGCACTTGCTCCGGCAGTCGGCGTGACAGCACGTGCATTTTTAAGCTAGTGTTTGTTCTCCTACGCTTGCCCACTGACGCTTCTGGGACGGATCTCGAAGCGCTGCCCAACATCTCAGAAGACTTTTTGTTGCGGCTTTAGTGTAGGCTACCTGGTGCAACTTCGGGCGGCGCGCTTCTCGAATGATCTTTTCAAGATGTGCCCCCAGAGCTGCTGTTATTTCAGGTTCCGCCTTGCGTACGCGAGCATGGGCGATGACCCGAGAACTTTGCGCAAGGCGTATGCGTCTCTGTCCTGAGACCTTGCCAACGCTCAGTCAGTAGGTAGTTCATACATGACATCTGGGTCGTAGAATCACGTGTCTACCGCCGAAGGATCGATTTTGGGCCAACTACCCGGTAACAGTACATGAGACAGAGTGAGGAGCACTGCTATGGGTAGACACTGTGCAACTTATACAGTTGCAATTCACGGAGAACTGGGAACAGACGTTATGCACGAGACGCTCTGTTGCCGCGTCCAGCCTCACGCGTTTGGCGTGCAGGAACACCTCCCGTCTGGGGTGGTGAGGGTTCGGTCTCGTCTGCGGCATGAGTCCGTGACTCGACGAGCCCCTGCGTTCTTGCATTACTGCCCGCGCCGAGAGCCAGAAAGGGTCCTCCTGATTAGAAGGTGCCCCGCTTGATGTTGCCCCTTTTCTCTAATAAAAACCAAGCGCATAGTTTGAAGAGGATAACTTTCTCTGGTGAAGCACAGGGTGCGAGCCCCGGGAGGTGCACTCCAATCGAAAAAAACGCATATGTTACCGCAGGGGGATAAACACTAATCCTTCTTCAGTGGTGAGAGTTCAACAGCAACAACAACGGCAATCCGCTCCGCAGAACCTCACTTCAGCCACGCGTTCAGGGACAGTGAATGACCGTTCGGCCCCTTCACTCCGATGATGAGCGCTTGTTGTCATGTGCGTGAACGCATTCGTGTACGAGCTCGCTGGCGCTTGCGCGCGCATGTCCGCCCCTGCGCTTGCAAGCGCAGCGCATCCAGCTGCTTGTGGCAAGTCCCGCCCACCAGCCAGCGCAGCCCTCTGGGTAGCGATTCCTCGGGCACCGCCCAGAGGGCCGTGATTCTTGGCATATTTCGTCCCGTGTTCAGATCTGGCCGTAACATGTGGCACGCTCTTCCGCGCCGTGTCGGGGTGTCTCTCCTCGTCTTCTTCGCCGTCGTCTTCCTCCTCTCCTCTCCTTCCCTCCTTGCCTCTTGGGGCCTTCTGGGGGCATCTCTCGAGGACCTCTTGGAGACCCATTGGGGGCTTCTTGGGGCCTCTTAGGAGTGCCTTGAGGGCCCCTCGGGGCCTGCTGGGGGCACCCGAGGCCGTGTGAGGGCGTTCTTGGGCCGTCTGGCACCGTCAGAGTCCGTCTTGTGGGCCTCTCTGGACCGACTCTGGGGGCTGTTTGGGGCCGTCGTGGGGGTCTCTTCAAGACCACCGATCGCTGAAGTGCATTAGCAAGGAGGTGCAGACATAATTTAGAGTGTGGGAGAGGCAGCGCCGACAAGAGGATAGAAAACATCTTGCGAAAAATCCTCCGACACGTGGAGAATCCATAGGTTTGGTAGCAATTTCAAGAAGCCCAGGCGGACTTGCGTCTAAAAACAACAACGGCATTTATATTTAAGTAGTCGCGCATACCGCCAGTCATGACAGAAGAGGTCAGAGCACAGGTGAATCATCTCGAACGAGGCAAGATGTCGGACTCGGCCGCCGTAGTCGCAGAGATGCTTAAACCAGGGACGACTATTTGTTGGACGTGGTCGCTGGTGTCTTCAGACGTCTCATGACAGATGGAGATGAGCTTCTGCGTTCATGAAAACACATCCGCACCAACTTGTTTTTTCTAGAAAGGAGGCCCCGAGTTACCGAGCAGTTGCTGACCTACTCCGATTATTCTAGTCTGGTACAAGTTGTTCAGCACGGTAATGCGCGGGCGCTTGTTGGCGTACCTATCATAACAGCAATCGGAAGACCAAGCTGAGTTTTGCCACGGCTGCATCTGCGACGGCCATTGTTAGCATAAGTCTTATTGCAAGAAAAGAATGAGCACGACATGGGCCTTTGGGAGGCTGCTGTGGATTTCGAGGAGGCGTTCGATTCTGCCAGCCACATGTCCATGCGGGCATCTTTGAGTGTGCAGGGCGCTCCAGACTTATCCGAGTGTTGCGCAAATTGTACGGATAGCAGGCTGGGCAGATCGTGTCCGACCGTAAGAGTCGCATTTTCAGACTGGGCATATGTACCGGACAGGGGGATCCGACGAACCCCACTTTTTTCAATGCTGTGCTAGAGCCGGCCATGCGTGATCCCAAGCAGGAATCGGAGAATATGCGCTTCGTCGTGAAAGCGGGTGGCGCGCGTCTCACGATTTTTCGGCTTTTGGCTCACATTTCGATGATCGGGGCTGCGCTTGCGCAGATGCGGTACATGGCTGAATATCTTCCAGAGCGCACTAGTCAGACTGGGTTGACGCTGCAAGTGGGGAAGCAGAAATCGTTTCCAACTTTGCCAGCCGACGCGGAGTGCTGTCGTAATCCAACGTGCAAGTCGGGACTGGCATGGTTGACTTGCTTTTCGTGGACGGAACCGTTTATGATTTCGGGCGTGAATTATTTTTTCAGGTTTACACGACATAGAAACACAAAGCCGCAATGCGAAGTGCTGGGAGGCCTTCGGCACATTCAAGGCAGTGTTTTGTAGCAGGCATTATGCGGTGCGTTCCCGGTTTCGTTTGTTTAACGTTGTGATACCACCAGTTGTTGTGGCCCGCACAAGCGCAGATTGGGTGCGGGGGCGCGATCGGGGGGGGAGGCCCGCGTCCGCGAGCGCGCGCGGCTGTGGTCACGCGCGCTCTCTGTCGCCTCAGGCGAGCCCAGGGTGCGATCCGCGAGAGCGGGCGCGCAGGCTCGACGCCGAGCGCCAGGCGCGATCCGCGGCCCCGGGCGCGCCGCAGCGCTGGGAGCCGCGCGCGCCTTGCGCCCGACCGCGCGGCAGGTGGGGGCCGCAGGTGCGGCGCGCCCCGACCCTGCCCGCGCGCCGCTTCGCCGCGTTGCAGGTGTTGAAATTTCGGCGAAGAAGCGCGGCGGCGACAGCGCGCCGCGCTGGCAGGTCGGGCGGCGTTTCGCCTTGACGGCAGCGCTCAAAGGGCCGAGCGAGCCCAGTGAGCACGTGGACATTGGCGCCAAGCTCGCCGGGCTGAATTTGGCGGGGCTACCGTCGCGGGCGTGGCTGCGCACGGCTAAGACTGACGCACTTGCGACCGAGATCGCGAAGCTTAAAAAGCGCGGTTGCACCGATCCTTTCGTGTATATGTCGACTTTCGGACCTGGCTGCCCCAGGGCGCTGCCCTGAAGGGCGGCGACGCCGGCAAGTGGCGGGGGCGCGAGTTCGGCTGGCCGGAGTGGCACCTCGCGTTTGACCAATATATGGTCGCTGGGGCTGCGACAGCCCAGATGTCACTCGGCGCCGCGCTCGCGCATAAGCAGAACGTCCTGCAGGTGCGCGCTTCCCCCCCCCTGGCTCGCTTGGGAACCGCCGCGCCGCCTCCCCCTTGGCGACCGCCTCCCCTTGGCGTCCGGCAGGTGGCCATCGATGCGCATGTGCAGGGGCGTCGCGCGCAATTGGGAATCGTCTATGACGAATCTGTCGGCCCGCGTCCCGTCCTTTCTCTCCGGTGCCCGCGACGGCGCCGGCCGCCCCGCGTTCGTTGCAGCCGCAATTACGCTGAATTATCGGCGGCAGGAGTCCCTGGTTTCTCCGTCGAGACCGCCGCCGCTAGCCTGGGCCCAGCTATCCTGAGGCTCGCGGAGACAGAGCTTGACGCCGCCGCGCGCGGCGAGAAGCCGACTGGGAGCAGTTATATGCGCAATGTCTGGCAGCAGTACCTTGAGCCCTCCTCCCCCCCCTCTTCCGGAAAGGGCGCGAAGGGCACGGCCGAAGGAAAAAGTGGCAAGGGCAAGGGCCGCAAAGATTTTGCCTAGGGTGACAAGCGCGGCGCCGCGCCCGCGCCGACGACGCCGAAGAAGAGGGCGCGGCCCGGCGATGGCGCCAACTGAGGGGCCCGTGCGACGGCCAGCGCCGTTCGAGTCGCACCCCATATGACAATTCGTGCACGATTGCAAAGCGAGCGCGAGCGCAGCGCCACCTTCCATACCTTTGTACGCGCCCGTGCGTTCTCGGTATCTTTCTGTTCCGCCGCGGCGCAGACCAGGGGCGCGCGGGGAGCGGCCTCGGCGAAGATGGCCGATTGCGGTTCCCCTCCGGGGAAAAGGCGCAAGATCGACGTTGCCAGGGCCGCCTTTGGGTCTGCTTTTCCTGCCTCGGACGTTGACCGGCTGCCGCAAGCCGTCAAAGATGCTGTGGCGTGAGCTGCGGCCACGTCCACGAAGGAGGCGCGCGCGCGTCCGACCGCAGCGGCAGGCGCGCGCACGCGCGGGTGCGCTGGGTCGAAGGCCCGCCGTTTCCGGGAAAAGGCCACCAGCCGGATCGAGGCTCGGGCCGCCGCCCTCATCGCGTCCGGCGGAACCCGCGCGTGGCTCAGCGCGGCCGGCCCGGCAACCAAGGCCGTCTCGCGGGGCGTTAACGGGCCCTTGCTCGCCGAGCTCGCCGCTCGCGCGGGCCACTGCGATCTGGATGCGGTAGAGTTCTTTCGCTCCAGCGCCCCGCTGGTGGGCCATCTACCGCGCTCGGGCCTTGGGGAGGCGATTGACGGGGCGTCGCGCGTGCCCGTGGAGGCTCTACGCGACGCCGCTACCCGGCAGAATTCATCGGTTCTGAAGAGACGGCTGCGGCCTGACCCGCGCGCCGAAGTCTTGCACGAAGCCACTTGCGCGGGCGCCGAATTAGGAAGGATGGCCGTGCATGTCGATCTCACTCAGACTGACACCGCCGGCGCTGTACTTGCGCCGCGTTTCAGTGTCGAACAGGGGTTCCGCGCGGACGGCGCTCTTAAGATGCGACCCATCGACGACTGCTCCATCGCGGGGCTAAGCGGCGCCACTGCGCCCGGAGAGAAACGTCGCCATGACGCGGCGGACGCGCTGCGGCAGGCCAGCGCGGCGCTGCGCGCGGCTCTACCGTCAGAGCGGCGGTGCCTCTTCAAAGCGGACATCGACTCCGCGTTCCGAAGGATACCGATTCAAGCCAGTCGCCGCTCGTTGGCCTGCGTGGTTTACCGCTTGGAATCCAAGATTATGGCATCGATGCATAACGCGCTCCCGTTCGGAGCAGGCCCCGCGCGTGCGGGAACGGAGCGAGCGCGCGTGCGCGCGCGCGTGCGCGGGTGCCCACGCCCGGTCGGTCGCAGTCGCAAGCGTGCATGGGTGGGGGCGCGTCGGCTCCCTGCTCGCGACCATCCTGCGCCACGAGTTGCGCGCGGTGATTCTGCGATGCGTCGACGACTTATTCGGAATTGGCAGGGGCAGCGGAGGCGAGGCCCTTCAGACGTCCTGGTCGTTCTTCCGTGCGAGCGCGCGCCGTATCGGGCGCAGGCTGCGCATATCTTTGAATGCGCAGTTCGACTAGTACGCGCCCTGATGGGCCCGTCGGCCATATCTGCCAGAAAGGTTGAGCACGGGAATCCACTCGTCATTCTCGGGTTACGTATCAAGGTAAGCGCGCGCGCCGAAGCGTTGCCGGCAACGCGCGCGCGCGACCGGCGCTGCGGCTCCTCGCAGATTGAAAACGTCGGTTTCTCCGCCCGGCCGTCCGACGACGAAAGAAAAAAGTGGTGCTCTCGGATCAGGGCGGCGCTGCGCTCCGGTCAGTTGTCGGCGGGAGCTGCCAAGAAGCTCACAGGGGCTCTGAGCTGGGCCACCAGCCACGCGCTCCGGCGCATAGGGCGCGCGACGCTTCGCCCTCTGCTGGATCACTCCCACAGAAGGAATCCGATTCTGCGGGGGGGCGCTCGCTGCAGCCTCACGTGGTGGCTGGATGTTCTCGAGCGCGGCGTCGCCGAGCACGCGGCCTGGGAGGCGCGCGCGCCTGCGCCCCCGCTGCTGCTCTGGGCGGGCGCGCGCGGGAGCCCTGCACGAATAGCCGCCGTATTGTGCGCGGGCGGTTCCTGGCTGTGCACAGATCTCGCGCCGGACGCCGACGTCATGCGTCAGTTCAGGCGCGGGGCGATAATCACATCGCTGGACTGGAGATGTTGGCAGTTGCTTTGGGGGTGAGCACCTGGGGCCGGCTCATCCAAGGCCGGTCGCTCAGAGTGTTCTCCGACAATGCGGCTGCGGAGTCGGGCTTTCGAAAGGGTGCAGCGCGCGAGCTGGGTCGCGCCGCGCTAGTCCACACCTTCTGGCTGGCCATGGCAGCCCTCCATGTCAGCGTGCACATCGACCGCGTTCCCACCGGCGCGCGCCGCCGCGGTGCGTGCGTGGCTGTCTCTTTTGCCAAAGCGCGCAGACGATGACATCGCGGACGACCCAAGCAGGGAATCGTACGAGTCGCTTGCAATACTGGGTGCGCAGATTGCGTCGTGCCGAACGCGGCGCCCGCCTCCGCGTCGCAGGGGCTAAGTGATGTCGCCCAGCGTTGGCCGATGCTTTTGCAAGGCCAGAGCTGCCAGGACAGCTAACGAACTCGAGCGCGCGGGTCCCTGCGCCATAGGCCTCGCGCGCGCAACCGTCGAAGGATCGACTCCGCCATGCGGCCGGGCGCGTCTTTCTGCGCCACGTACCCTGTTCTTTCGGAGCACGGGGGTGCCATTGATGCGTTCTTCGTAAGTAATGATGTCTTCTCGCTGCGGGACTTCCATGTTATGCGAAAAATCAGTGAGTGGCCAGGCTTCGCAGACCTCCCAGGTGAGGTTCAGGCCAAGCTGCGCCTACGGCAGTGCGCCGCGCCTCCGACAGGCGCCCCTCCCGCCTCGGCAAACGCCGGGGCGCGGCGGGCCGCGGCAATTCCCCCGCGCCCGCCCGCAGCTGTGGCGGCGCCGCCAGGCGACCGCGCCGCGCGTTCAATATTGTCGGGCGCGTATAGGGCGCTCAGCAATGCGCCGCCCACGCCGCAGGGCGGCCCCCGGGTGTGGCGAGCCGCGCTCAGGGCTTGGGTGTTGTTTGCAAAGCGTCGCCTGCACAAGGGCGGCTGCGCTGCACTGCCACCGAGCTCGGAGGAGCTCTGCCTCTTCGCACTTGTATTCAGCAGTTCCCGCACTTTCGGGAACTATAAGTGCCAGCTCGCCAAAGCGTGTCGGCTCTTGGGCCGCGACGCGGCCGTGTTCCGAGACCCGGTAGTGTGCCGGGCACGAACGGCGATCGCGAGGAGGCGCCCGATCCGGAGGCCGACCAAGCCCTTCGCGATGCTTTCGCATCTCCCGGCCATGCTGGATTTCGTGCATCGTTCCCTGCGCGCCCTCTTTGTGCTCGCGTGGGGTCGCCCTGCGCGTGCCCTCGGAGGCCCTGCTCATCGAGCGCGGGGATCCTCGCGTTGGGGCCAGGTTTCAGTTCTCGGACTCAGACTTACGCAACCCGATTGCGCGCGTCGTCCTTGTCGTAACGACCGACACGGCCACGCTGCATTTTTCCAGGCGCAAGAACCGCGACGGGCCGACGGTCGCCTGGCGGACCTGCTGGTGCGCCAGCTCCCCTGCCACGTGCGCTGTTCACGCCGCCCGACCTTTCGTCGAGGAGGTCCGCGTAGGCGAACCTGCCTTCCCGCACCTCCGGCGGATCAGCAGCTGGGGAGTCGTGTCACCGGCCGCTTCAATCACGCGGGCCATCAGGGCCGCGGCGATGCACGCCGGCGCCCCCGGCGGGTCGTCGTCCACCAGCAAGGCCTTTCGGCGGGGGCACGCTGAAACCAAGAGGCGTTGCCGGGGCCGGCTGTGCGAGATCTTGCGCGGCGCGGATTGGTCGTCACGGGCGTTCCGAGAGTATCTCGACATGAATCGGAACGAATGCGAGGCGACCGCCGAGGCGGTGTCCGCCGCGGTCGGCGGAAGCGCACCAGGCGGCGCCGCGCTGCCCGCGAGTTAGACCGTGTGGACTGGCAACTGTCGGGGGCGCCACGCTGTGCGCTTTGGCCTCGTCCAGTCGCCCGTTCGAGTCTGCTGCGTCCGTTGGGTGGCGCCGCGACCGGGACACCTGGCCGCCTGACGTTGGGTGGTTGCATCCAGGTGTCCCCGTCGCGGCACCTCCGTTGGCGAAACCTGTGTCGCGCAGGCGTTCTGCGTCGAGCAGGCAGGCCGACCGTGGAGTCGCGGCTGGCGCGCCGCACTCAATGCGGGTGCGATCGCTCGCTGGGCCGGACGCCCTCCAGGGGCCGACCTCATCCGATTGTGGTGGCCCGCGCAAGCGCAGATTGGGCGCGGGGGCGCGATCGGGGGGGGGGGCCCGCGTCCGCGAGCGCGCGCGGCTGTGGTCGCGGGCGCTCTCTGTCGCCTCAGGCGAGCCCAGGGTGCGATCCGCGAGAGCGGGCGCGCAGGCTCGACGCCGAGCGCCAGGCGCGATCCGCGGCCCCAGGCGCGCCGCAGCGCCGGGAGCCGCGCGCGCCTTGCGCC